GTAAAGAACTGTCCATCTCCCATGTTTAACGGAATAATATACAGCCTATGTCCACCCTGAAGTTCCATTCTAAATATTGGTGAAAGAATTTTTGAAATCGGATGAGTAGTTTCGGAGATTACCTGCTGCATACAAACTAACATACATACAAACATTACCTCTTTATAATATTAGTATAGATGAAATCTCAAAACTTGATGTTTTTAATAATAAACCAAGTGATTGTCGTAATGAATCAGGCTACTTTTACTGCTATTATTAATAATTAAATTCTAAGTAATTTGGTACTAAATGTAAGCATAAGCACCATCTCTTAATAAATTTAATAATTAAATTGAATAAGAGATGGTGCTTAATGTTTAACTCTAGTACCAAATTACTTAGAATTTAATTAATAATAATAGCAGTAAAAGTAGCCTGATTCATTATGGCAATCATTTGGTTTATTATTTTAATATATTCTTCTTTTTAATAAGAAATGTTTTTATTTTTGTGAATTTTTTTTCAAATTAAAGTACATTTCTTTTAAAATAATTTTTAATTTCTGAAAATTAGAATAAAATTTATTATATCAAAATAAATATTTGATTAGGAAAGAATTTACAAAATAATTATAAATTTTCTTTTCTGTACTTTTCTTAAAGTCTCAAAAACATTTCAGTTATAACATATTAAGTATGCTTAAATATTTAATCATTTATTGAATTTTAGATGCTAAATTTGCAAATTATCAGATGAAAAATTACACATTAATATTATCAATTTAAATTTTAATAATCATAATGTTAAAGACATTATGTATATAAATGCAATTAAAATATAAAATAGGCATATTTTAATTTAGTGAATTTTAATTATTTTTTTTATTACTTATTCATGCATAGATGATAATGCAGTGATGATGGAGATAGACCACGAAGCTAGTCAAGTTTACGTGGAACAATTAAGTGTTTTACCTAATCAATTAGCTACCTCCGGAGCATTGAGACCTAGTGCTGAAGCTATTGATTCTCGTTTAACTACTCCAATTGTGATAACTTATGTAGATACAGATAAAATTAGTTTTGAAAGGTAACTTTTTAAAATATATTAACAATTTTGTTGTTAAAAATTGAAATGTTTTATATTTTAAAACATTTCAATTTTTAACAACAAAATTGAAATGTTTTAAAGTATAAAACATTTCAATTTTTAACAACAAAATTGAAATGTTTTAAAGTATAAAACATTTCAATTTTGTTGTTAAAAATTTATTAACATTATTTTAAACTTTAGAATAAAACTTACAAAACTATATTAGAAATGATTGTTTCATTAAGATAATGCCTTACTTCAGCTTGTTTTGAATATTTTTTACAATTTTACCTTCTGACATGATTGATGTTTTCTGATATTATCAATAATAGAAATTAGAAGAGATTTTTCACTCAAATCCCCTTTAAAAATGCAATTGGAAAAAATTTAAAGATGTTACGTTTGGTTATTTTATACAGTTATTGTACAGTTACCTAACTGCAATCTGTAGTTTATATAATCCATAGGTGCAGTTATTCATTGACAAAAATGTTTATTGTATTATAATTTGTTAAAGCTTGTGTCATTGTTTATTTGCTTTTTTGGCACTTTAGCAATAAAATGCAATTTGTAAGATATTTTAATAACTAAAAAGAAGTGTTCTGAAATCTTGGAAAGAAATTATTTAATTTGTTTTAAAGTAGTAGATAAAAAGTTTAGAAAAATTGAACTTAATAACTAAAACTGTATAATGGCAAACTACATAACAATAATAATTATATTCATTTATGCTTAGCTTCAACTCATGCTTATGTCATTAGAACTCAAAAATCAAACATGAAACTAACTTTCTATAAAGTTGCTCAGTCTAGGATTAATATTCTGATCAAAATTATGTAATAAAGTAAATTAATAACAAACGAAATAAATAAAAGTTTAATTAGTTATTAACAGAAATGTAATTTCAAAGCATTATTTTGAATAATATTTAATACATTTTTACACTGACATGGGGGTTTTTTCTTTAAACTCAAGTAAGAACTTTATATACTTAACTTGGTATAGAAATTAATTTCAAAAACAATATGAGTTTCTGTACATATTTTTTTTAATAACAATTTAATATAATCAAAATGCAATTAAATTTTATTTGAATGTTAATTTTGTATTATATTTTGTTATGTTGTTTTTTCAGAAATTTAAAAATAAATTATTTTTATAGGAATAAATCAGGGATTTGGGGTTGGAGAAGTGATAAAACAGAAGTTGTGAGTGAACATGAATGTAAAGTAAGATCTTTTTTTATTGTTGTTATTTAAAATATTTGTTTTTGTTAAATATAAAATTTAATTTATTAATTATTAATAAATTAATAATTAATAGTAGCATATATAAATATAAAATTGTGAGATAAGCAGAGGGTCGGGTTAATCCCTTCTGACCACTTACGCTGCAACAGGTTGGTAAAACCCGATCTCTGATCTTCAAATGGCTTAGGAGGGCAAATTGAGTGGGGAGTACATTGGTAAGTTGTCAGGTACAACGATAGACGACAGGTTAAACAAAATAACAAAACGTTTATTGAATAGCTAAGCTAGGATACATAAGGCGATAACAATATTAAGGTTAAATGCGGTTAAATATAAGTAAACTACACAAAGGGCCACTCTTTACAGCTCTAACTGCTCTTACAGCTCTAACTGCGAGAGAGAGAGTTCACAAAGCTCTAAAATGCAAATACTTCTATGAGGATATGACTAATATGTGTTCGTTGAATGGGCCATATGAATCATAGTCAGCACATGAACTGTAGAATGGCGATGGAAGTTCAAAGTTGCTGTCTGTCATATGATAATGTCCTTTCAGTCGCAATGTCCGGTGTATGGAGACAAGATGCACACCTTAATAAGTATAACTTCCTTTGGTCACTCGGAGCTTCTGGGGGCTCGAGCTTTTATACGTTCTTTGTGGGAAAGGAGTCACATGATTGACTTCTGTTGACACTAACGGTGCATTCCGATCAACTAAGTGTCAACTTTCCCACCTAATTGTGAAAACAATTGGTGACCTCCGATATAATTCTCACCAAGAATATTTTTTCATTGAAGTTGTTTACAAAGGGTTTTTTTCCCCGACATCTGCGTAAAAATCACGGATCTCACAAAATTATAAAATTCTTGAAAATCTAGTTTTAATTATTATCATTACCAAAGGATTTTATTTCTATTTATTTTTTATAAAAATGATATTGGATTTGTTCAAAATCAATAGAAAAACATGATATATATATATACATAGGCTATCATGAGAATTTTACATGTTTTATTTAATTTAGAATGTCATCTTAGTAATTAGCAATTACTCTTTCTCAATAGCCTACAAGCTTGTAAATGTCTTTCATATTAAAGGAATTGTTTTATTACACTTTGATTTCATTGTGAAATTTCCTTAAAAAAAAAAAATTAAAATTGTTCGTGGAAAAGAATGCATGGAATTTTGAGAAATCAAGGTTCTGTGAACATGAGCATGTTATGATCTTGTCTAATTACAGCAGATTATTTTGTGTCCTTGTTATTGTGTGTCTTCTTGCTTGTATTTTCCCATGCTAAGCTACAATGCTAAGTATTTTCTTATGCTTAATTAGTCCAGTTGTTCATAGTAACACAAATTACTAACTTATCAAAATATGAAATTATCAGTTGAGCTACTAAATCAATTTTCATCTCATTTAGTAGCTCAGTAAAAGTTAGATAATATCTCCTGCAGTTCCACTAACAATAAATTCAGGGCATACAGAAGGTGAAATGTCCAAAAGATGTTCTATCTATCTATATTTGGTTTATTGCATCTGACATTGCCTTCCGACCTCCAGGAACCCCTTCATCTCTTTCTATCCATACACCATTCCTCTTTAATTCCATTTTCACTACATGCTAACTTTACTCCGTTGTACCAAGTTCACTTGGGTCTTCTTCTCTTTTTCTTTTTTGTGGAATGTATTCCATTGACATTTTCAGCTAATCTGTTCGAATTTTCAAATTCAAATGGATTAGCCAAACAAATTTCATATTGCAAGAGTAATTTCAGGTAATAAAAACTTTACAAAGGTAATATATTTAAATTACCTGGTCCTCTAGGTTGGGGGTTTGGATGATAGACCTGCACCCTATCTTCTGTAAAAATAATCACACCACAACAGAAAGCTCCAGGAAAAAAGATGTTCTGTGATCTTTTTTTATACACAAGCCACTTTTTATTTTTTGTAATCCTGTTTAAAAGACATCTTGACAGTATGAAGCACATGCAGTATAGAAAAATGGCATGTTCTTTTGTGTTAACTGATGTAAAATCCAAATATTCAATTTAGGCACAATCTACTTTTATAGATTTCTGACAACAGATAATTAATGGGCAGAAAGATGTCAATTCCTTGATTGTTTTTGACTGTTTTGATTGAAATTACTCTTATCATTGATAAGATTATTTTTTTTTACTTTGTCCTTATAAGTTTTGCATAGTTTAAATGTACATTTATGGGCAATGACATTACTTTTGTATTCATATAGCTTATTGCACAAATTTTATTCTTTTGTGTTGTCATTTTGATCATGGCTTGTTCTGACTTGGTTTGAAATGAAACTTGTTCTGACTACATTGATGGTATATCATTAGACAATAGAACTTTATACACAAGTTTATTTTTCTTGTTCACATAAAATTGCTGCACATTTTCTAATCATACAAATGAGTGGGTAGAATTTTTTTGCATAATTTTAATAGAAAGAATTGATCATTTTAAGAAAATACATTATGAAGATTTATTGTTAATAATAGAATAAAAAGTTAAATTTAATTTGTAGGAACTTTTAGAAATATTGCCTTAATTAAATACAGGCATGGAGATTACATGATAACTGATTTAAATTAAAATATATTTTTATTGCATTTTTTTATTTATCAATATTAAAACATTAATATTTAATTACAGATAAATGAATTAAATTGAACTAATTACAATAAAATTTTTTTTATATTTGTGAAACTTATTTATTGAATATTACTTATCAAATATATAAATATAAATTAATTTTAGTATTGTATTTTGTGATTATATGTTGACAATTCCAATAGAAAATAAATTTTAAAATTGTGTGTGATTTTATGAATAAACATCACATTTTGTTTAACTTGATTTATATAATATATTTTAACCAGATATATAATTTAAAAAAAAATTATATATCTAATTAAAATATATTATNATACATATTTAATAAATTAAATTGTTGCATTTTGTATTTAAAATAAATGAATTATAACAAAATACAAAAACATTTTAAAAAATTGATAAATATAAAACAAATTTTTCTTTCATTTAAATAAAAAAAATTAAATTTTTTATTTAAAATTTATATAATATTTAAATTGTCGGAGTTGACACATTTTTCCTGACTTCGACCCCTCTGGCCAGAAATTCCTCCTGACTCCGACTCCACAGCCCTGGATTTAACAATGAATGATTAATCAGGGTTAATCAGGTATAATCATCTAATTGTTGTCAGATATTTTCTAAATATCTTCTAAATTTTAAATTTGTTTTTGTTTTTATAGCCCTTTTTTCTTTTTTTTTTTAGTAATTTAATCTCTTTTTTTAATATGGATTATATACTTTCTTGTCATTTCTATACTAATGCCATTCTGAGCAAATAGGTCAATGACTAATATTGGTTGTGTTTTTCCATTATTAATTGATAAGTTAATTGACTTATGTCACAATTACTTCACATCAGACATCCTTTTGGATGCAATATAGTTAACAAAACAATATTAAATAATTGACAAGACCATGTCTTGTTTATAAAATCGTACTGCCCGATGTTCTTACCAGCATAGAGGTATGAAGGAGTACATGTCGAGAGTTGATATTTGGCACAGAGTATTAGGTGCCCAAATCATTTGCTCATAAAAAAATCCAGACTTGTAGGTAGTCGGGGACCAAGAATCGAGTCAAAATAAAATACAAAATGGTGACTCTCTTCTACAAACAGGCAAAACAGCCACCTCACCCCACCGAAGTCGGGTAGGGGAGAGTACCACCCACAATCATTCTAAGAAGTGAACTCTGACCGTAGGACCGAACACGTAGTTTCTTCTATGTTAAATAAAATTTGTAATCTAATTTTGTAAATTTGGGAGTGCTTCAAATATGACGTTAAAATGGTTTTATGTCGTTACAAGTGGGTTTTTTTAAACATCATCTAGTATAGTAAAATCATAGGACCAATAAAAATTTGATGTTATATTAGGGTTGTCGTTACATTCAATGACATTATAATCGGGTTAAACTGTATATTATTTGCGCAAAATAAAAAAGTAATTTCAGACGATACAATAGCCACGATTATTTTTTTCAAAAATGGGAACTTTTCGTTACCCATCAACAAAAATTCAACCCGGGCCGACACACAACGGAGAGAAATTTTGAAATTAGATAGGTTAATTTCATCGAAGATGCATCGTGAACGATCTCGTGATCGTGGCTGGCGAAGTTTGAGCGATTGCGCCCAAAAGCAGCAATATCAAAGAAGACAAGTGAATGAGACCTGCCTTGAGCATCAAAGTGATTCTGTCTCCGAGACATAGTCTTGTCCCAAATACAGTTTTGCCATTTTATGTGTTTACAATATAATAACCATCTGCTTGTTTAAAAACAAAAAATTTCTTTCAAAACTAGTCAGACGGTGCTGAAAATTAATTGCTCAGATGTGATAATTGGCTATGAATGAGACTGAAACTTATTCCTAAAAATTTATTAGTATCAAATCTTGAACATTTTCATAAATTGAAAATGTTTAAAAACACAGACACAAAATAACTAGCAGTTTCTAAAGGAACCAATTGTGTCACTATGATTATCTTGAATTATTATCATTTCTTTAAACAGCATTCATTTTTTTAATGTTAATTTAATAATTTTAAATTTAAAAAGTATTAGTGTTTTTTCAATGTGACTATTCCCCTAATTATATTATAGGAAGAGCTGATTAATACAATGAACAATTAGCAAACAATTAATCAGTACATCTTTAATATATAAAATTTGAAAAACATTTGAAGCTAATGGTTTTTAAGTGAGAAAGATGACGGAAACAGTGTGAAGTAAATACATAATAATTTTGGATATAGAATATTTGTTCTAAAATGTATTATATGAAACTATTAATTTTTTTAAATATATAGTTCACTAAATTTCAATATTATAAAATATTATAGAATTATTAAGTTAAGAATTTTTGAATATTTATAAGTAAAATCTAGAATTCAGTAAATTGCATTATTAATTTGAATATTTCTTATTTACAAAATTTATAAATATTAGTCTGAGCCTTATTGATTCCTGTTCAAGATATAAATTTTTTAAACTACAAAATAACATTTTATTATTATTATTAAATTCTATAAATAAAAAAAATCAACTTAAATTCTATTCTTGCTCAACATTTGTTGTATTGGCAACAAAACAAGATTTGAAAGTTTGAATATATGGAATTTAGTAATAACAGATTATTATTTTGTCATTTCAAATATTCTTATAGCCCTAATGATGATTCAGTAATGTTTGAAATTTGCTAGGTTTGTAAATCTAGTGAATAAAAAATATTTTAATAAAATAGAATAGTTTTTTGCATTTGAATTGGAAATGTCAAAGCTTTATAAAATCTAGAATAAATTATATTTTATTATTTCAGGTATTTAGTGCTAATAATGTAGAATTAGTGACCAAAACAAGAACAGAGCATCTAATAGAGGCTGATAAGTCACGGCATCGTTCTCCAAGATCACCTTTACAATCATTTCTTGGAATTGTTGAAGAAAAAACAGTGTCACCGACTGAAAATGGAGTATGTATTGATTAAACTGATAAATTTATACAAATATGAACAAAAGCCTGAATTTTACACATTAAATTAAAGAACCAGACTACTTTATAAGTTACTTAAATTAAATTTGACTAAACTTACAATAAATTCTTTTACAAGATGGCAGTGTTACTTTTTTTATTATTATCATCAAACTTTACATATTTATAGATAAAACTACTATTAAAATTTGGAAGTTCAAAACTTGCAAAATTATTTAAATTGTTGACTTTTTGGCATATTTTGTAACATTTTCAAGTGTTCTTAAGTGAGATAAATGAGTATTTGATGTTTAATGCATTTAGTTCTATTTTTGTAGCATGATTTCAATAAAAATTTTTGAGTATGTGAATTTATAGCTATTGTCTATTTTACATTAATCTATTACCATAATAGTGTCATTTACAAAAAGATGATGGATGAATTTTATCAATCACAGATGTTACAAATTGTTCTAAAACTGTGTGGCATTTTTTAAGAAAAGGAAGGAATGATATTATCATTCAAATGCTGCTAAGCAAGTTAGAAAATATTTTAATTGTATTATAAAATTGTTATTGTATTGAAGTAAATACAGAAGTTTTGATAAAGAATATGAGTTTATATATAGTCATTAATTACACTAAATGATTATCAACAGGTACAGTGCAATAATGGTGTTCATTAACAGATTTAATGAAATAATGGTTGTTAAAAGCAAATTCATTTGGTCTATTTATGACTTTTTACAAAATTTATCTTTACAAAATTATCTTTTTAAAATGAAAATAAAATTTTATTTAATGTTTAACATAGTAACAATTAAAAATATAAAGGAGATTATAGTATATATATTCTTTGAGATCTTGCTTAATAAAGAATTTAACCAATCATAAATTGTGTGGAATCAATGTTCTCTGAGAAATAAAAGTAATTGTGGTTCAGAAAAAATATTTATTTCTTGCCAATAAATACAAAGTAATATGATTTTTGTACAATATAAAATCATTAATGTGAATAATGAGGATTGATATGAAAGTTCATATTGTACAGCTTCGATTATTGAATATATTGAATTTAGTTCTATACACTATTTGATTGTAATGGTCTCAATCTTCAGCTTATTTGTTGACCCTGTGTGAGAATGATGAGAACTAAACACAAAAAGAGTCTAAATTTTTGTTGCTGTTAATAAGAATTTGTATACATGTCAAAAATTTATACAATGTTTTTGACAATTTTTGAAAGTTTAATGAAAAATTATAAATTTATAATTATATACTGTATACTACTATGCATATGTAGCTAGAACTATTTCTAAGATTATCAGCACAAAACCTTTCTCACTAATTTCTAGCCTTATTAACTGGAGTACAAACGTTTTCGGCCTTCTTAATAGGCCTTCCTCGGGTACACTGTAGAACCTGGGTAAACATTGGCAGCATTTAAACTTCTTCTAACCGACGCTCCACAGTGTACCCGAGGAAGGCCTATTAAGAAGGCCAAAAACGTTTGTACTCCAGTTAATAAGGCTAGAAATTAGTGAGAAAGGTTTTGTGCTGATAATCTATATACTGTATATATTAAGATATAAATGTTTTTATAAATGTATTTTATATATTAATTTTTAAAATTGCAATCTTAGGATTCCAAAGAATGTCATAGTAATCCATGCCATATATCTCCTGAAGAATATTTTAATGAAGAAGTTAATCTGGAAGGAAGAGATATTGGAAGACCCAAAGAAATAACTACAAAAGTACAAAAATTCAAAGCTAATTTATGGCTTTGTGAAAATTATCCTTTATCATTGCCTGAACAGGTTAGGTTTTACATTTATAACTTGCTAAGAAATTTAATACACTTCTAGGAGCATTATTAAAGTAATAATTAAATCTATAAGTGTAAATTAAGTTGATGAAATAGTAGTAATATTTAAAAACTTTTTCTACATATATAAAACATTTAAGTTTAGAATTAAATTAGAAAAACTAGGTTTGTTTTTATATTAGTTTTCTCATTTCTGCTGTTACATATTCATTTATACTAAAGAACAAATATAAAAGATTTTGAATCATTAGTTTCATATGCATATGTAAACAAATTTAGAAATAAATTTCATTAAAATACATATGTATTGTAACAGATTTTTCAAACATTCTTAAATATTTTATGTATACAGTGGGTGATCAGTTAACAAATATTTTGGATAACGAACACTTTCACGAAAGATTTTTATGTTCAAACACATGGTCAGATAATGAACACCTCACAGAACAAACGTAAGAAGAAGCGATGTAAAATAACGAATACCGATTAGTCTCCGATTAGTCTCTTAGATTCAGGTAACAATTCAAAACTTTCTTGAGTGCAGGAGACATTGACATCAAAGCTCAACTCATTATATACTGATATGATAGTATTCCTCCGAACATTGAAACTATCCCTTTTAATTCCAGCCTTTTATTTTTCTAACAGAAAGAATTCTTTTATAGTATTTTCAAGACTGTCGAGTGGGCACTAGTTAAGTTTTGCATCAGTTTTTATTTTTGAAAGGTGAGAGTATAATAGCAAAGGTAGAGAGTGGGCAGAAGATGTCTGATGTTGCTGGGCAGTATGGCTTGAACATGTCTACAGTAGGCCGCAGTTCAATCTTATCTAAGAAAGATACAGTATAATTAAGAAGACTCAAGCAGCTAAAGGAGTAACAAAAATCACATCTGAGAAATAAAGAGCATTGAAGAGCTCAAAATGGAACCTGAAACTGATCTGACGACAGAATAACGTCAAGAACTCTTGAATGAAGAACACCAAGAAATTCGGCAAGATATGTTTTCTTCTGAAAAAAAGGATTAATGCTGACATCTGCTATTAAAGACTTTTTGAAGAAGTGGGAGGATGTCAGAACAATGGTCTTAGAATGACATCCGAACCAGGTTGAGGTTAATAGGCTTAGGGATCTCTACAATGCTATTAATTACTTCTGAAAAATCCTGAAGAAGAGAGAAAAGCAATCGACATTGGACAGATTCTTTAACCTCCACAAATGGAAAAAACATAACTAATAAAAATACAAGACTGTGTATCTATGTATTTTTATTATTACATATAAATAAACATAGTAAGAAAGTACAGTCGATCCCTCTATAAGACGGTAGATACGTTCCGTTCTTTATGAATCAATTTTGTAGGAATCACAGCCAATCGCAGCCTGACACGTGTGAAGTTTACGGACTACGGCTGTTTGAAAGGTTTTCTTCCATAAAATTAATCAATTCTAGACTAATCCGACTCAACATTTCCAAAATATGTATATTTTTTTGGAAATAATCCGTATAAACTATGCTATAAACAAAAAATCATAGGATTACTTACCGAGTGTGCACCATTCGACATCGCCGTTGCTCAAGCTTGTTTTCGTCGTGGAACAGCGCAGCAAACCGCGGCCGCGATTTCTGATGTTATTTTTCTGCGAAAACTTCGTTGAACTTTGGAGACATCATTAATATAAATAATTTTAATCGCCGTTGAATAAGAAATGTTTCTTTCACAAGAAATGTATAAAATTACAGTGCTGTATTAGACTTACGGTACCTAATTTACATACTGTACAGACGATAGCTCGCCTAAACTGTCCGTAGTGTGGCGCTAGACGGCGGAAAGTATATATATAATTATAATAAAGTTACAATAAATTAAGTTAATATATAATTATATATACAGTACCTAATTTATATATAATTAATATATAATTATATGTACAGGCGATACTAAACTCAATTTACCTGCCTAAACTGTCTGTAGCGTGGTGCTGGATGGCGGAAAGTAGTTCGGCTGCTCGATGACATTTTACGTAATTATAGGAGTTTTTTTATTGTTGTTTACAGATATCCGGAAATTGCAGACCGCAAAGGATCAACAATAATTCTAAAAAGAGCCCCGAACCTGTATAAAATTTTAAGAAATGACAAGGATAGCATTAGGAAGGAAGAAAAAACAGGTGTATAGGTTATAGAATAACATACGAAAATCAGCAGCTGGGGATTAAGAAAGATTATATTGGCATTACAACAAGGAATTTTAGGGTAAGGCTAAAGGAGCACAAGTATAACATCAAAAAAAGTTTGAACGTGACGGTACTATCCCAGATGGCTCAGGCACAAAGTTTGGTAGTTAAATGGGATGATGTGGACATTATCAAGCCAGTGAGATCCCCAACATTAGCGAAGACCACTGAGAAAATAGAGATTTATAAGAGCAAATTAAAGGAGACTTGTATTAATGCGAGGGACATGGAAGGCCTTCCATCGGCCTGGAAGTATATTGTTAAAAAATCTGCCGGAAACTCATAATTTACACTTTAATTTTATTGTATTAGTTGATACTTATATTTAGTAGTATTTCTGAGTTTATTTTTATTTTATTCTTTGTTTTTATTTTTTTGTTATACATTACTAGTATAATATCTTTTTAATCCATTGTCAGTTTTTTGAAATTTGAATATTTGTATTTGATCTTGTGGAACAAAATCTTCCAATTGTTTGTTTTAAACCTGACGATGGCCTATGGAATAGGTTGAAAATGTTTGTTTTAATTAAATCTTATCAGCAATAATAAAGGTGTTTGGTAATTAACATTCCCATAAAAACCTATGGTAAATCGATAATTGGTTAACAAACAATTCGGATGGCAAACAGAGTCTTGGAATGGATTATGTTCGTTAACTGATCAACCACTGTATTTTAAAATACTTTGGATTTTCCTTTAATTTAAATAATAATGCCATAGTTCAAATAAAAACAAATATATCATCCTGTAGTTAGTTTTTCTAATGAAATCAATTCAGGTTTCTAAAGATTTTGATCTTTAAAAATTTTTTAATATTTTGATAAAATAAAGTTTTATTAACTTTATCAATTTATCAACAAATTTATTATATTAAAAATGTCATTTGAAAATAGCACAAATAATATATTGTATTTACTCTAATGTAAGACACGCTTTGTTTGTCTTACATTATTTGTACATGTAAATACATTATTTACATGTATTTGTTTGTTACAACTTACCTCCATCATGTTAGTTTATTACAATAAGGTGGTAAGTACTTGGATGAAAATCCCAGAAAAAGTTGTGCAGCACTCTTTCAAGAAATGTTGCATTTCTAATGCTTTAAATGTCACTGAGGATGATTATGTATGAGAAGATGTGAGCATCAGATTTAATGTTGATTGTAAAGATCCTAACATAGAAAGTAAAGAGGTTTCCAACTTTGCTATCACAGAAGAGAGTTATATACAGCTTGCTTTAAAATAGTGATTTTCTTGATATAAATTTGTTTTGAGTTTTCTATGTAAAAAAAAAAGAAATTATCTGTAAGCATGTAGAAATTAAGGTGCATCTTAGATTTGATGGTTCTTATATTTGAATAAATATGGTAATTAGACTTTGATCAGAGATTATTATAATTTTATTTTAGATAGATCTGAAATTTTATACGTAATTATATTATTATGTTACATTTAGTAATTATAAGATGAAAAACTTTTTATCAAATACATAGAAACATTGTTTATAAAGGTGTTATATACATATTAAAATTTAAATATTTAATTTTCAAAATAAAATATATGCAAACTAGTTTTAAAATAAAAATTTCATTTTAAATTTTTATTTAGATATTGCCTATAGTAGATCTAATGGCCATTAGTAGTACTCATTTTGCAAAATTAAGGGATTTTATTACGCTTCAGTTACCTTCTGGATTTCCTGTTAAAATAGGTAAGAACCTTAAATATATATTATTATAATTGGTAATTACACATATAATGATCAAATGGCTTATATGTAAATATATAGATCTTGTAACCAAATGATATAATATTTATTTGCTAGATAATTCTTGAAAACTTTGTAATCTTGTATCTGCAGGTGTATAGGAACTCTACCTGTAATCCTGTATCCATAACATAGGATTTAAATATATTTATTTTGGTTGATTACATATACTCAATGAAAATAAATATATTTAAATCCTATGTTATGGATACAGGATTACGGAATTTTTGAGAATTATCAAATTGAAATATAGTCAGTGATCCCACAACAAAAGTATATATTTNCAAATTTATTATATTAAAAATGTCATTTGAAAATAGCACAAATAATATATTGTATTTACTCTAATGTAAGACACGCTTTGTTTGTCTTACATTATTTGTACATGTAAATACATTATTTACATGTATTTGTTTGTTACAACTTACCTCCATCATGTTAGTTTATTACAATAAGGTGGTAAGTACTTGGATGAAAATCCCAGAAAAAGTTGTGCAGCACTCTTTCAAGAAATGTTGCATTTCTAATGCTTTAAATGTCACTGAGGATGATTATGTATGAGAAGATGTGAGCATCAGATTTAATGTTGATTGTAAAGATCCTAACATAGAAAGTAAAGAGGTTTCCAACTTTGCTATCACAGAAGAGAGTTATATACAGCTTGCTTTAAAATAGTGATTTTCTTGATATAAATTTGTTTTGAGTTTTCTATGTAAAAAAAAAAGAAATTATCTGTAAGCATGTAGAAATTAAGGTGCATCTTAGATTTGATGGTTCTTATATTTGAATAAATATGGTAATTAGACTTTGATCAGAGATTATTATAATTTTATTTTAGATAGATCTGAAATTTTATACGTAATTATATTATTATGTTACATTTAGTAATTATAAGATGAAAAACTTTTTATCAAATACATAGAAACATTGTTTATAAAGGTGTTATATACATATTAAAATTTAAATATTTAATTTTCAAAATAAAATATATGCAAACTAGTTTTAAAATAAAAATTTCATTTTAAATTTTTATTTAGATATTGCCTATAGTAGATCTAATGGCCATTAGTAGTACTCATTTTGCAAAATTAAGGGATTTTATTACGCTTCAGTTACCTTCTGGATTTCCTGTTAAAATAGGTAAGAACCTTAAATATATATTATTATAATTGGTAATTACACATATAAAGATCAAATGGCTTATATGTAAATATATAGATCTTGTAACCAAATGATATAATATTTATTTGCTAGATAATTCTTGAAAACTTTGTAATCTTGTATCTGCAGGTGTATAGGAACTCTACCTGTAATCCTGTATCCATAACATAGGATTTAAATATATTTATTTTGGTTGGTTACATATACTCAATGAAAATAAATATATTTAAATCCTATGTTATGGATACAGGATTACGGAATTTTTGAGAATTATCAAATTGAAATATAGTCAGTGATCCCACAACAAAAGTATATATTTGTTTGAATTAAAAAGTCAGACTGGCAGACAGAATATTTCACAATATAAAAATAAAGAAGAAACTAAAACATCTTCAACTTTCTGTCATGTCCAATCACCAGGAACAGTCAGTCTTCACTTTGCCTACTGTCTGCCTTTTTAATTCAAATTATGTATTTTTAAAGGTTTTGGCTTATCATCGATGAACTTTTTAACTGTTTTACATAATTTTGCATAGGCATAGACTCTAATAAAACATCATCTCTGTGAAGTAAAGACTGTTTGTTCTTAGTGATAGGACACAAGGAAAATTTGAACACATTTTAGTTTATTCTATATTTTTATATTGTATATATTTGCTGTTAAAACAAATTGATCTTGTATATATTTTTGTGTTCTCGTTAAAGTGAGACTAAGTTAAAAGTAAAAAATGCATTCAATGTTAAGGTACAAATACTGCATATAAATAAACATATTTTTGCTATAGATGTTTTGCAATTTTCTTTGAATTTGTAATTTTTCAATTTTAGTTTTGTTAGTGTGAAAAAAGAAATGTAATCTGTATTTTTATTGTTCATAAATATAACACAATAATTGTAATGAATCTTCAAGATATATCTAAATTTTGATGAGTTTAAAAAAGTAAAAAGCAGTGGTTGAATTTTTTTGTCATTAAATGAATAGGTTACAAATATGCATTTATGGAATTATCCACAACTTTGCCTCTATTAATATAACTTCCAATATAAACTTTAATTTAAATCACATTTATTATTATTGAAATCTATGCTAATCTGCAACATTTCCAGTAATTCAAATTGTAAATTCATTAAAGTTAAATATTATAATAAGTTGTGATTCTTGATGTTTTATATTATATACAGGGTTCCTACGCACCTGGAAAGTCAGGGAAAATCAGGGAAAGTCAGGGATTTTCATTAGTGTTTGGAAAAGGTCAGGGAAAGTCAGGGAATTTGTCGAAAATTGTCAAAAAGTCAGGGAATTTGTCTCCTTAACTGCATTGTTGATCTCGTTTGCTGAATATGGATGACCAATCACAGCCATCTGCAGGCGGCAAGAAGTAATGCTGCAATCTTTAAAACCCGAGATAACTCGNTAAATGCTGTTTTATTATGTCGATATTCCACACTAAAAAATGTGAGGGTCAGGGAATTTGGACAAAGTTGGTCAGGGAAAGTCAGGGAATTCAAAACAAAAATTTGAGTAGGAACCCTGTATAATATATATCTCTTATAATATATATTATATTAATGTTTTTTTGCTGATTAATTCATATATTATACTAGCTGAGGTATAACATATGATACGTATATGAGTATATGATATACTCATATAAAAAAAAGTATACGATATACTCATAAAAATACTTTCCATAAAAATAGTGTTTATGGAAAAAGAATGTGCACTAATGATAAACTTATGATAGATCTGACCAAAAACAATTTTACATAAAAAGAAAGTTTAGGGATTTGCTGATAGTCTGACACAGATGAAAATGGCAAACATAATACATTCAGTACTGCATACATTTTGCTGAAATAACAGGCTGACCACTAATGGTCACTTTGCTCAGTAATGACCACATTAGCTTAGTGCATTAGAATTTCATGATTCGCATTACACCCACAGGCATCTAGGCAAAATGCCCTATTTATGCAAAAGACCTGATAAGAACCAGATATGAACTACTTATCCTTGCAAACAATATCATAATTCTATCAAAACTTAAAAAATTAAAGTTTTGAGAGTAAAAGGTGCCCATATCTTTTCCAGTACTATCTTGAATATATATGTATGAAATTTCCTAGAAATTGATTCAATCATTCTCACCAAACGACAGAAAGAAAGATACAAATTCAGTTTTATATATATAGATTAATAAAAGTAACAAATCTCATATAGTCAGAGATTATTTATTACATATATTTTTGCATTATTTTAGATTTACTTGTATACAGATGCAAAGTACAAATTTTGAAAATGGACTATATTAACATAATATTTTTGTGTTTTTATATTTGTAATGAATGATCGAGACTTCAATGAGCTAATTGGAATTTTTCATTTTTAATGAGTACTGTTTTACAATTAAATTATCCTGAACTGTCTTTGGAATAATACTGTAGTGTTGTCTTAGATTAAATCAGTTCAAAAACATAACATATAACTTTGTTTATCGTTGATTACTCTTGAAGTTATATATGGCATCATTATTGATTTTTAACATTTATTTATTATTATTATTATTTTTAGGCACTTTAGCTGCAAAAAACTTAAAGATAATTGAATATAAGGATATTGAATACTACTATAAAAATAAAAAATTTGGTTATCTTTAAATAAATCCTTGATGTAATTCAAGTTAATATTAAGTTGACTATATAACATGTAATATTATGTGCTGTTGAATTTATTTTAAAATGATCATAATCTCTATATTGATAAGTATGAAATAAATGATATATAATGACTTTTTTTTTTTGGTTAAGAAATTCCACTGTTTCATGTATTGAATGCTCGTATTACATTTGGTAATATATTTGCAATGGATGAGGCAGTAACAGGAGTAACACCAATTAAGGAAGATAGTCCAGTTGCCTGTTATATAGATGATTCTTGTTTTGAGCCTCCGGTTGGCTATGTTAGATTAGGTAAGTGTTAAATTTATTTTGTACATATATACATATATATATTACAAATCTTAAATGAAAAATTATGTAAAATGAAGTTACCAAGTAAAAACTGTTTCTTTTGAAGTATGGAATTTATTTTTTGAGTATTTACAACTTTTCCAAAATTGATAAGACAAAAAGTACAGTGTGTATTTTGTAAAATATTATCTAAGTAAATGCAAAAATCTTTGTGTATTTTCATCAGTTATATTTTAGTCAGTAGCAAGCTACATTCTTGCTACTGACTAAAATGTTCAAGCTACATAATTGAGTAAATGATAGTGTTATTGATGAATCAAACTTGTCATTAACAATAGTAATTTATCTTTTACTGGAATTAGTCAACCTCATGATTTCTAGCAAATATAATAAGTGACATAGATTTTATGGTTTATGAAGTACATCCAAATTATTTATATTTTTTGATAAGATCATCACTACCTCTAATTTCCAAGAAGAAAAACTTTCATGAATTCACTGGTTAATTATTTCTACTGTAGATAAGATAATCTCTTGCCTATATATTAAAGTCCAAATCTGACAGATTTATTTTCACTTGTCAATATTCTTTCTTCTTGATTCATGAAATATTTGTGAAAAATAATTCTGGATGACTTAATTGAACTTTTTTGAAATTTTTCATTATTAAATGGATGACATTAACATACTTTACATTTAACACAAGATTCTAATATAGTAATGATGATAATTACAATATAAAATTTAATATTTTAAATTATATTTAAAATTAAATACATAACATATGCTTTATCATTGGATTTTTAGAAAGATTTTTTAAGTTTGAATTTGATAGCTGTTATGTTAATCTAACAGTCATCATAATCATTTGTTGGGATCAGTTTATATAAAAGCAATGAAGTAGAATAATTTTTGAATGAATAAATTAGTAAAATCTGTTTTAAGTAATTAAAATGAACAAAAGTAAAATACATTTAAGACATGTAATATTATATATACAAAATATAATGAATGCTGCAGAAAATATAAAGTTTATGAAGAAGGGACTGTATCATAAAAAAAATCCTATTAATAAATAGTTCTTAAAATCTGGTCAAAGATATTTTAGTGTAAATAATGTGTGACCATTATGTTGGCTGTGACGACTATGTCGGCAATGTCCAAGACAGGACTGACACCACCTGTGACTTCAGGCACACGGGAGCCTTTTGAATAATTATAAACTTGTGAGTGGTTGTATGTGAATGGGCTCGGGATGGAGAAGGGAGTTGAGAGACAGTGCACTGGAAATAATGCAGTCCACTACACATTTAACCAGCAAACAACAGACATTTATTTTTCAAGTGGAGGAAAAAATTACAAAGAAAATCTAAATAGAGAAGAGAATCTTGATGCATGCCAAAATGAGTGTGGGTGTGTTTACAGTTGCATATGTGGAGTTGATAAATACCTGGATCTATAATGTGTGATGACTGCTTACTAGCTTGGACATCCTGGAGAAGGGAAGGAGAATCTCTCACTTAGTGGTGAAGAGTTTTGAATCTCAAAGTTCATAAGAGTAAAATCTACAATAGTTGTAAGCCAATCGTTATTGTTCATTAGTTCAAAGCAATCAAGGTCTGGTGGAAAAGGTAGGAAATCAGGAAGATTGGCAGTGGAGCCCAGCAGGGATGAGCACACACTTTGGAAACTGGTAGGAAAACTCCCTAGAGACTTCCCTTTTTTTTCATTTGAGGTTATTTTCCCTTGCTATTTTGATGATTAAGACGATTAACCTTATCAAATTTGATGATGCTCAAATTTGTTAAGGTTATGCAGGGAGCTGGCGGTTAGTCTAATCCAGGAGTGGCCAACAGTTTTTGCTCCCGGGCCGAATTGGAAAGAAAACTTTTTCCACGGGCCGAACCAGAGGCTGCCCTAGGAAGATTTTGAGGTAGTGCGAGATCTCGTTGTGGTGTCACCCTGTAGAGACTGAATTGTAGATAGAGATTACAGATACATTTTTCACATTATCATGCTTTATCAACATTCTACACTGTACTTACGAGATTTGTAATGGAGGGTTAACTCTAAACGCACGGTGAGTTGTTAACCTTTTTTTTTTAGGCATCAGAACTTTTCATCGAGCTATTTGGACTTGAGTAGCTAATATTGAAAGATTGATCGCGGGCCATATGTTGGCCATGCCTGGTCTAATCCTTGATTTTTATCAGACTTCCTTCACTGAGTAGTTTTTATTGGAATGTGTAATCCACAAAGGAAGTGTTATCAGTGGGAAAATCTTGCAAAGTTTCTCTGTTGAATTTGTTCAAATAAAATAATTCTTCCTTTTAATTTACAAAAAATTACTAGCCCAGGTTCTCACAAATGAGTTACGAGGGCAGGCTGAAAAGTAATGCACACATGCTTGTAGAACACGAAAAAAAAAAAAAACAAATAGCAAGATCCGGCAAAAAGTACATTAAAATACAATTCTTAAGCTTCAAAATCATATATTTATTTTTCAACATAGTCATTGTTAAGACTAACAAATTTCTCCCAACGTGTAACAAGTTTTTTCATTCTGTCACTGAAAAATTCTTCCAACTTTTCTCGAATCCAGGACTTGACAGCTGCCTTCACCTCATGGTCTGAGGTGTAATGATTACCCTTGAGGTCTCTCTTAAGTAGAGGAAACAAATAAAAATCACAAGGCGCAAGATCAGGGGAATAAGGAGGGTGTGGAATTGATTCAAACTTCAGGTTTCGCAGAGTCTCTCCAGTTGCACGCGAGGTGTGTGGACAAGCGTTGTCATGTTGCAAGATTATTGGTGCCAGGCTGCCTCTAACATGTCAAACTCAACGTCAGAGGTGTTTTAGAGTCTATATGTACTGAGAAGAATTAAACATTGCAACAAGATGCAACGGTAACTGTCTGTGGCAGTGATCGGACTTCCGCTGTGTATTTCATCAACAATTATGGCTTTTCCAGGCTTGCAATTACGAAATTTTATTATCCATCAATTTACAATAGACCTATCAACAGCATCGTCACCATAAACAACCTTTAAACGTAATTTTTTCAGCAGTTAAAAATTCGATAACAGCAGGCTGTTTAACTCGCGTTGACATAGCACCAGAACATGTCTCCATATTTCCGCTTCTCAAAATATACTGAATGAACACAACAACCTCAAACTGCGCATGCACATAGAAGGGGAATGTTACTTCCATATGCCACCTGGCACACTTCTGAAAATAATTTCGTTTATGCTCTACAGGCATGTGTGCATTACTTTTCAGCCTACCCTAGTATATGTCCAATAAAAATTGACTTCAGTAAAATTTGGGTTTTAATCAAAAAGAATAATATTTCATAGTTTTAGAGATTGTAATAATACTGAATATACTAAAAACACAAGTGACAGACCACATATTTATGAATGGAATACCATGGATCCCATCACCATGAGATTTATGAATGGATAGGATATATGCAATATACAATATTTGTAGTTAAACCAAAATTTATTGAACCATTGTAGTGTATGTGTAATTGCTGGACCAAAAAAAATGTTTTAGACTCTAAGATAATAGGATTAAAATGAATATTCTATAATAATATTCTGCAAGAAATGTTGCGTACAATATAGAAAGTCATGTTTAGCAATACAAAAAACCAAGTTATAACTAAAAAACTATTAAACTAAAGAGTTTAATAAGAGAAAATCATTCAGTGGACAGATGTTGTGCTTAGTTAGATAATTTTAATTGGTAATTGTTGAAAATTATCTTGTTAGTGAAAAAGGCAGTTATTAAAATTTTTTCATTTTCTTGTTCTGCAAGAAAACCCAGAGAGAAACCAACTAGAAAACTTGCCGTATTTTCTGGATTTCTTGTGTTTACTCTAATTCTAAGCATTCCTGTTTAGTCAGAGTTTGTTGAATGAAAAAAATTCCACTGATTTGAATACCTTCAAAATCTCATTTAAGATCTCTCTTAATTTCAAGCATTCTGAATTTTATTATGGACATTTTTCATTTAATTAATTGATGAAACAGATTATTAGAGAACAAAGAAAGTGCATTGTTGATAACAGATTAATTACAAAAAAACCAATTTTTTTTAATTTAAAAAGTGAGCACAAACTTTCCAAGCAACTTAGCAATTTCTTAATTATTTAATTTTATTATTTTTAAACACATGGTACATTTTTTATTCTTATATATGCTAGTAATCATTTCATTTAACTCTGTTAATATTTTTTGTAAAATTCAATTATTTATTAGTAATAAAATTGAAAAGAGTAGTTAAAAGCACTCTTGATTTTTTAAAGATTAACATAATTATTATGTTTTTAGACATATAAAACTAAGAGAAACTTATATTACTATTATACATTATTAAAGTAAGAACTTTATTGAAACTTAAGAATTTACAAAGAAATGTTTTTGTCATCCTTTTTTAAGTTGAAATTTGTATTTAATCTCTCTCTTCTTTTGTAGAACATATTTACATCATTAACTTGTATAATTATCAAATAATCCAAAACATTTCAAACTCTTAGTGTTGTTTTGAAAATGAGCAAAAAGCTCAATATATCTTGATGCTATTATTCATGTTTAACAAAACACTCTTGTTTCATAGTTTTTCTGGTTACTTCTGGAATCTTTATATTATGATGGAATATTAAGTAAATTTCCACCCTGTATTTAAGAAAACAATTGTCATTTATTTTCTTTTTTGCTTGTGATGTCCTTCTCATAATGTCATTTTTTTATTTTCTGTATCATAGCTTTTAGACTTTGTGAAAGGCAGGCAGCCTACTGTTCTGGGGATCCAGGGTCAAATTCAGATGGGTTGAAAAACCCTAGGAATTTTTCGGATTGTAGACCTGGCCAAACCTGTAATGGGCTTGCTAAAATTGGGTCTCAGATGCTATGCAGACACTATTGAGTGAGAATATGTGGTGAGAAAAGGCAAGACACAATAAATATCAAACCCTGTCAGATATGTGAGAA